CTCCACCCACCCCACGTCAGGCCATGCAAGGGCCATGGTTCGGGACAGCACTTCCTGCCACGACTGAGGATCTATCTCCTAGGAGTTGAGGAGGCCCGGGCGAATAACTCATTCCTTCCTCTCTTTCTCTCTCTCCTCTTTCAGGCAGGCAGAAAACCAGGATGCTTCGCTACGTTCTGCTAGTCCTCGCTGTGGTGATTCCCTTAGGTAAGTAGTACCTCAGATTTTAGTGACCATTTCATTTTATCTTTTGTTAATGTGAATGTATTTACGCCCTCATTGACACAATTTAGGTCATTTAGGAGGCGGGCTTTAACTCTGGCTGTTAGGGCCAGCCCAGACTGGGAGGGGTACAGCATCCAAGCAGAAAGACCGAGATATTCGATAGAATAAGACTGAATTTAAATCTCCTCATTTAGCAATCAAACTCGTGTCTCCTGTGTCGATGGCGAAGTGCCGTTGGGCTATAATAACACAAACGCCGGTTTAGTGATAACTGTTTTTATATTCAAAGTGCGAGATCTGGCGCTTAATTAGAAAACTTGCACTTGGATGAGAAGTACTACAGATTGTAGGAATCTTTGTCTTACTTTACAGCAACAAACTGTGAAATCATGTGTTTAAAATGCCACTGATTACTTGTACAGATTTGTTCGACATTGATCTAAAGTGGCAAAATGAGGAACGTGATTAAAGTTAAATTGTCCCCAGACAATTAATTTGTCCCATCCTTGTGGTCCAGTATCAATTACGCTGTGCCTGATCATAATTCTACCAAGATCCTCTAAGAAACTTGTTTAATTTTCAATACGATTTTTAAAAAAAGATTCGATTTATCAGAGACCGGGTCAGTGGTCAGTGGGGGTATGTATTGGGTGCTGTAAAAAAGACAAGGAAGTTGAGCTAGCGTTAAAGAAAATTTGATTGTGTAAAAATTTGACTGGGTACAAATTTGACTGGGTAAAAATTTGACTGGGTAAAATGTGATTGTGTAAGCTAATGTGTGGAATCGTGGTGAAATCAGGCACTCTCCAAACATAATGAAATGTTTGTTGGGCTAATTGTGTCAATTAACTTTCTTTTTTTGCCTTAGCATTTTTTATGAACACTGAAAAACACATTTCTGTGTGGGTTTTTACTGAAAAACTTTGACCAAGGGCACAAAGAATGTAATTTTGCAGTTTTCAAGGACACTTACATTTTGAAGGTCACGCAAACCTTGGCAGCCATTTTCTAACTTATGTCACCCCTGACACCAGATGACCCCACCTCCGTATATGGCAAATGTCTCCATTTCTATTCAAGATAGAGGAACATTTTACTTCAAAAGCAAATCAAATGACTTGGCGATTATGGGTCCGGTAGCCTAACCACAAGACCAACGACACCACCAGGCCAGCTGTCTTGTCCGTGATTTGTGGAAGATCAGAAATTAAGAATTGAAGAAAATTAAGGCACTGAGCGGATAAATTTTTGTACTTCTGAGGTAGGGAAATGCCTTCTCCTCAATACAATATGATAATAATAATAAAAT